TAGTTTTATGTCGCTACATAAGCATGTTCAAAGGTTCCTCATAATCATGGTAGAAACAGAGGTACCAAAACAATTGTTACATTATGTTCCTTTTAGGCTTTTTATGCAATATCAGTTATATTTTAAGTGGTTACTGAAGCTTATATCCAGCTGGCCTAGAATGTCTTAGAGTTTAGGTTCGGTGTTATGTATAAGGCATAAGTGAAACTTGGATGTGCATCCTAGCCATTTTAGGACTTCTCTTAATACTTGAAGCAGTGGTTAGAAACTTGCGTTGGTAATAAAGTTCATACTTACAGCTAATTGTATTTTATCATCCTGCTCAGGCAAAGGAACGTGCCAATGGGATGGAGCTGGATGGAAGAAGGATCCGGGTAGACTTCTCCATAACAAAAAGACCTCACACACCTACCCCTGGAATCTATATGGGAAGACCCACTTAGTAAGTTACCTGTGTGTGTTTTTTTCCAAACCAGTATGGATAGGATTAATTGTCTTTTGTTTTGTCAAAAACTGTTCTGCATCCCCTCTAAGAGACCTGATTCTGTGTGGTTTTCCTAGTTTATCAGGCTTTTGCATTAATGCACTGTTCTGAAAGCTGTTCCCTTGCTTCTGACTTGTGTGCTGTACAGTATGTGGATGTTTCAGTACTAGAAACTAAGATACAAAGATCACTGTTGATGCCTAATTACGTTTTTTTGGGGGGGAAAAAAATAAGTCTCCTTAACACGAGCTGTGCTAACACTGATGTGGTTATCTGGCAAAGCTTCTGAAAACTAAAAAACTCAACTGATACAGGATGCTTTTCAGAATTAAAAAAAAAAAAAGACTACATGTGGACAGCCATCAGTAGTAATGCATATTTTTCCAGCTCTTTAAATAGGAGGGGTTAATTTATATAGCACTTGTCAGTGACTGATCTAGGGTCAGCCTGGATTACAGTGAGCAGAAACCTGTGTTCCTTAGTTATGCAGCCCAGGCATGAGGTATCGAAACATTTAAATAAGTCTACAATAAGATTTTTTTTACAATTTCTAAATTATTTTAAGTTGTTGTCCTATGTACCTTCAAATATCAATGTCTTTTGCAAGCTCAAGTTTTCAAGAGTGAATTAACAAATACTAGTTGAGCAGCTGTGTGGTGATTTAAAGTTGCCAAGAATGTAAATTGTTTTCCCAAGTAATTTCCCAGTTGCTTTCCCAAGACTTTCAGCTTATGGTGCTGGTGGTTATGTAGTTGATGATGTGTTGAGACTGCAGGTTATTTTTTTAATGGGAAAGTTCTTCCAAAAGGAGCTTTCTGAGAGTTAAAAGTGAATGAAGAGTTGTCACAGAATGGAATTTCTCTTGTGCCTGTGATATCAAAAGGTTAAGAGGTTTCAGACCAAGGAGGAAAGTAGCTGTCCTAAAGTTCAAGCATTTTAAAAAGCAATTATTTAAGTAGTTCTGTTCCCATGTGCACTGATGGGAGAGTAGGAGTGCTTTCAGTCATTTCAGCTGTGAGGATACAAGGTAATAATATAACCCAGTTAAAATGGTGTATACTTGACTGACTATACGCCTACAGAAAAGCACTGTAAACCGTATCAATGTTTTATATTTTATTAAATGTAATTCTCTTTCGCTACTTGTAGTGGCAGCTCACGACGACGAGATTACTATGACAGAGGGTATGATAGAGGGTACGATGATCGTGACTATTACAGCAGATCATACAGGTGAGGCAATATTTGTAACATTCGACTGCTTTTTAAACTGCTTTCTCATCTACTTTTCTACCTATATAAGTTAAGCAGTTCATCCTACATACGTATGCAAAAATATTTTTGCACCCGCTGTCATTCTGAAATCTTACTGCGAAATCTCTACCAAAATGACTGCTTAGTACAAATCAGATTGGTCAGATTGAGAAATACTTTGTAATGTTTAACCTGTGGCATGAGTTAGTCCATAATGTGTTCTTAAGTTGCATTAAGTTTTGAAAAACAAACAAAGTATGTTCTCTATACTCTCACTTCAAAAGAATCTTTTGTAGGTTCATCTGTTAGCATTGAAATGGTGGGAATACAGGTGCAGATCTAATATTTGAGTTGGTATTACAGTGCCAACTTACGTTTTGAGCGTAATGTAGTAGACAAAAAGTGGGAAGTTTCAGTGGTCATCAGTATCCCCTACTAATAATTATGGCACCTCAAATGTTGCCAAAAATAAAGAATCAGGGATTGGAACATTACCTGTTCTGTACTGGACATGTGCATAAAAAAGCTCTTTTAACATACTCTGTCAGGTTGCATGTGTGTGTTTTATTTGAAGAACTCACACCTCCTATTTCTGTCTGTCTTCAGACTAAACTTCTGTGTTCGACAGCATAGTAGTTAGCTGAAAGAGGTGAGTATTCAGGTGGCAATGTACATTGTCAGAAGGCTAGTAAAGTTGATACAAAATCTGTGGAAAACATGGTTGGTATGTAATTGGTTTTGGTGATAGAGCAAGTTTGTCTTCTGCATTTTCCATTAAGACTGCCAACAAGACTAGTCCCCTGTGAAATCTTCACAATTTCTGGGACACTATTAAGTTGGACACAAAGATAAGAGTTCATTTTTTCTGTCTGCAATTACCAAACATTCCTGTAATTGCAGAATTCTATGGTAGTACTTCCTAAGTGGTTTGCAAAGCTTAAATGCATCCGCAATGGGTGGATTTATGATTGTTCCCTGATGGCAACCATGTATTCGTGGAAATACATGAATTCAAATTGCATTATCACATTATAGCTCAAAGACAAAGGAAATAATAAATTCTGTGATCTTAGCTTTCAGTGTACTCTTCTGTTGCTTTCTAGGTGTAGAAGAAAAATACCATCTTTGTACTTCCGTTGATAGCTGTATGGTCATTGTCAGTGACTGAGGGCAGCTATCTCCTCCTTCCCCTCCTACTACTTGCAGCCACTGTTTCTCCTTCCCCGGCTGTTAGCATTGCTTCCAGTCTGTTTCTCCCCTCCGTGCCTTCCTGTTGTCACTTAGATCAGGTGTCTTGCTTCTACAGTGCTTAAATGCTGCTGTGGACAGGGAGGGGATCAAGGTGCTCTGCATCATCACAGTGAACACATGAGACAGAAGTGTTCTGCTCGCATTTCTGGGAAGCAGTTCTTAGGGTACTTCTCTGCCTCTAACAATCCATTTTCTTGAACATCTTGGAGAACTGTAGCAGCTAAAATCTGAAGTTGATACTGGGTGTACAAGAACCAAGACATGTTGGGTTTCACTTTGCCAGCGCTTGTGTGTAGGCTTTCATATGTGGTAGATGGCTCTTTGACCAAACTTCCAGTTTGTTTCAGAGCACAAGGTACAAAAACTTGCTTGGGATAGTTAATGTAGCCTCATCTCACTTAATGTACTAAAAGTAATTAACTGGGTAAAGTAACTGAGGCAGCTCGGCAAAGTGTTGGGGAACAGAAAAGACTTGAAACGTAGCCTGCTAAGCAGTCTGTTAAGTGGTGCTTCTAGCTTGCTTCTCCCACTTTCCATTTTTTTTGTATGGGCTTCTGATGTAAACTTATCAAAATGGCAAAGGCACCTAAGGATGGCAAAAGGTGTGGGGCTATGCAGTGTTTAGTTAAGAGCTTTACACCATCGGTCTTTCTTCTTGCACTTCTTCATAGACTTCTTCATAGTACACATTTCCTTATTCTTTTCATAAAGGGTCAGACAGGGTGTACTGGTTGTCCTTGACATCTGTTGTTTGTTGCTTGCATGTTCTTAAAATGTAATTTATTCCTTGTTTAGACTATGGCATGACCCTAAGTCTTCAGTGCTACCTTTTTCATTCCTGATAGTGAACAGTGGCTCAGATGTTTGTAAAACGTTACCAGAATTTGTAATTATGTCTGTTCTGGGTGTGTGCTGGTGAGAATAATTGCAGACTGTGATAGTGACTGAATATAAAGAAGAGTACATGCATTAGATGAGCAGACTAGTGAGAAGTGATGCGAGAAGATGGAGTACCTAGTGTACTAGTCTGCGTGTAGCATACCAGAATTCATGGCCGTGCTTCGGTCCAGCTCTTTGAGGCAGTCATGTGCTGGGCGATGTTGTGACCTTCCCATACATTCTCCTATCCTGTGTCTCTTGTGAACTAGGGCTTTGGGGTGGAAATACTCAGAATACTGACAATTCCAGCAAGGGTGATTTCCATTTCCTATCTTTTACAAAAAAAAAAAAAGCCATCAAAAACCCCCACACCCCAATGTTTTAAAGCTCACTGCAGAACCTTTATAATGTCTTTTCATAGCAGATATTGAAAGGGTGAAAGCAAGCCACAAATGGTTTGTGTGTGGCTACTTTAAAAATATAATGGTCTGCCCAGGTTAGATACCTACTTTCTCATCCAGCAGATAACTGGTCATTTGAGGGAGAGAGAAGAGTAGTGGTATGTATGTCATGAGTGCTTCCTTGAGGAAGGGAAAGTTAGAATTGTTAAAGATGCAGCAGAGCATTGCATACTAGTGCTCCACCCTAGAAAATCAATTGGTAACAATTACTTTGCATTTTTCCCTTCCTTGTCCTTTGTGCAGTGAAGCCTTAAGGGAAATACAATTTCAGATGGGAATTGTCATGTTAAAACTTTAATTTTTCCTCATTGCCATGGGATGCTTAATCTTGTCTGGAAAAGTATGTGTAAACTAAAGGATAACCTTAAAACCCCAGCTTGCACACTGGCTAGCTACCAAATGGAGAAGACTTAAAAAAGGAGACCTGCTGATTGAAAGTGTGGAGTTGTGTTTTGGGGGTTCTTTGTTCTTCATATGATTTATGGCCTTTTGAGCTGCTGAGAGACATCTGTGGCAGTGACTGTTCCATAATCCAAACTTCATTTAGTCTCCTCCTGGTAATGCTTTGCTGTATCTAAATCTGTGGAGGTACCAGCCCCACCACTTAATATTGTTAAATACTATAATGTATTCTTTCAGTTCTAGGCAGCTTCTATATAAGGAGAAGTTGTACCACAGTTCTTAAATGCCCTTGTTTAAACACGATTGTGAAGTTTTAAAACCTGCCTCCACCTTGTAATCAACTTTTTCCTCAGGACAGTGAATTGATCTTGCTACTTTAAAAAAAAAACAAATAAAATTGCTTCCCTCGAGTGGAAAGCATCTGAGAATAGAAATGGTCTTAGAAGCGAAGGCTATGTACTGATCTTGAATTGCTGCTCGTTGGCGACTGTGACATCGTAAAATACAATATTGGTAAGGTGGAACATGAGTCCTCTTTTAACTGTTCCTTGACACCGAGTTTAGCCAACTCATTCCAGGAACACATAAAAATGAACGTAGTGAAGTAATTTAGCATTATCCAGTGTAGGAACCAATGTTTTCTTGTCTTCACGTCATTTTCTTGTGCTTGCTGATGCTTTTTGCTTGTACAATGAAATTCTTTTTTATTTTTGAAATTTTCAAAAGTGATTCTGCTTTTGTATTCACAGAGGAGGAGGTGGTGGAGGAGGAGGAGGATGGAGAGCTGTTCAAGACAGGGATCAGTTTTACAGGTATGATAGGAAAGCTTTCAGCATCTGGGCAACAGTGGAAATGCTCTTATACATGGTGTTTTTTTAGTATTCTGTGAATCAAGTCTAGGGTATCTTTAAACACATTATCAGAAACTGGGTGGATGCTGAGTACTTGGAGCTCTTCAGTGAGCAGTGCAATTCATTTCAAAGGTTCCCTCGTCACTATGTGAAGGGGTGAGGTTAATATAGGGAAAGGTTAGTGCAGCTTTGCCCAGGAAAAACTTGTGATTTATGCCAAGAAGTTAATGTCCTGAATGTTTGGGGACTTTTTTTTTTTTTATTAGGCCATTCGTGGAACTAGGCAAGGAAACACAAAACTTGGAAGTGCCTGGATTGGAAGGGTTTGGGGGTGGGGTTGGTTGTAGCAGTGCCTGCTACTCAAATCAACTCTTCATTTCGAAAAAAATAGTTTAGATTCAAAGTTAAGGTGTGATTTGGCTTACACTGCTTGTTTGGGATGCTCTTGGCTTGGAACACTAAAAATTGCATGTAGTCAAACTGTGAATGCAAGAGAGCTTATATGTCTTTTATGAGTCCAAAGTAGTATTGTTCTGACCAGGTAATAGAAAAAGCATTAAGAAAACTCACATCTTTGCTTTGTTATCCAGTAGAAATGTTGATCAGCTCTTTATGTGCTCGTTAGCTTTCCTGAGTACACTCTTGATACCAGGGTCAGGTTAGAGGTGTCCACATCAAGCTGCTGCCACTTAATCTGCCACAGGCTTTAACAAAGGGATTGTTTCTGTTGCCCTCTTTCACAGGAGGAGATCACCATCCCCATATTACAGCCGAGGGGGCTACAGATCTCGATCCAGATCTCGATCCTATTCACCTCGTAAGTAGTCTTAGAGCTCGCATATCAAAAGCAAATTTCCACTTTGCTGAACAACTTTTTTTGAGGTTTTGCACCCACAAAGACTATTCGACTTCAGTGTGGTTATTTTTTTTTTGAACCATAGTTGCCTTTAACGTTTCATTGAGCAACTGGCAACCTTGAGGACAGAGCAAATATTTACTTGGCAAAAAAACAAACTAGGTAATACCGCTTGTTAAAAAGTCTGCGGTACCATTTCTTTCTCCGAAACTCTGTGAAAACAGGAGTTTGTAGTGTGCTGATAGTTTGGTAACCTCTAAGACAGCGAGGCTGAATTCCCAAGCCTCGCGTATTCCAACACTGAAACTAAATTTCCCAGCATAACTTGTTAAAAAGGAGGTTAACTTCATCTGAGGTCCAAATAGTGCTTTTTTTCTGAATTGCTTATTTGCATGGAAGATAAAGCTGCATTTTGATGGCAGAAATTTAATAAAACACAATAGCATTCCTGGCATTCTCCCTTTGTAAGGGATACCGAGTGAATGAATAGGTTGTGTTCTCATGCTTACCCTTTGTGTCCAAATGAAAACAAGCGTAACTGCTTTTACCGATACTGCAGAACAGTTACAATGCGAATTCTCATTGTGCGCTGAAACATCAGCCCTGGGCGTATGACGGGAATTGGGGTTTTCCTACACAAAGGAACTTGCTGGCAGAACTGTACTGACTGCTGGACTTTGGCATAGACAAATTGTAAGGCGCTCGAATTCGATGCGGATTTGAGGGGTGGCAGTGAATTTAGACAGAAATCTTAAAAATCTGATAATCCTTGGAGGTCTAATAGCATATATATTCTGTTTTTTCTTTCAGGTCGCTATTAAAGCATGACATGTAGAGGAATTTCTAGCTACGGCCTTTGAGTTGAAATTGCAAGTTTGTGGACAATATTTTTATTGTCTCTTCTGTTTAAACAAGTGAACAGTGCCTAGTGAATAGGTGACTTTTACACCTTTTATGAAGACTACTTCTGTGATGTTAAATGCTGTTTCATTCTGCATATTTGTGTAGTTTGGTGCTTTGTTTCAAGTTGTGTTTTGAAAGGAGTATGTTTTGCATGTATTTTTTTAGTCTCAATTTTGACTCCTGAAAGGTTTCTATTGTAAAGACAAACTGTTCAGTTAGTTTTTTCTACTGATTCCAAGGTATTCTGAAGATCAAAACCTGTGTAAAATGCTTTCAAAAAGTGGAAAATAAAATAAAAAGAAGTTTGTTTTTTCTTTTCCTACTTACTTTTGCCAAGTATAAGTTATGGGTTGAAAAGAGACTACATCACTTACGCTATGTATTGTGGAATAATGTTTAAAGCCCGGAAGTAAAATTCACCCGAATTTTGTGTTGCCGGGTAGTTGTTCTCTAAACGCAATACCTTCAGGTATGTAAACCCAGTCTGTAGAGAATTCCACGTGCAAATTGTACAGCAGCAGGAGCAGGAAACGTCACTCGGCAGCTCTGTACGCATGGAGCAAGACTTGTAGTAAACTCTCGGTAATGCTGTTGAGCTTTGAGGTGGGTGAGCTGTTGGCAGGTTATCACCTGTAAGGTGTAGACCTTGAAACAAGGAGAGGGCTTCAGTGGAAGTAGATAACCATACACTTAGAGAAGGCAATGAAATAACATTTAGACTACTTTGATTTTTCTTATTTCTTCACTGATGATTGTCTTTTCTTTAAGAGTACATTTTTATCCACATAACGCAGCTAAAATGCAATATAACTCTCAAATGATGCTTTCCTACCAGCACAGTACCGGTTTGCCTACTCAGATTCATGAACTTCATGCACTTACAGGAAAATTCTCTGCGAGATTTGAAAGTACTTTCGTCAAACTAGAACTTCCCTCAGCCTTGTATCATGGCTCCAATGGTGACCAAGCATGGAGGACTAGAAAACAGTGCAAGAGCAGTGAGACGCTAGGCTACATCTGCCACTGTTCTCTCGGCTTTTCAACACAAGTTCCTCTACTTTTTTTCCTGCATAGCAATTTCCACACTTCTTTCATGGACTAAGAGCAGTTACAGGACCCTGTGGACCTGCAGCCTCTTGACCTTTATTTGATGATTTTTCCCCTGTTCCTGTATGGGAATGGAACAGAAGCTGCTCTCCGTGCCTTTCTGTGCCATTTCTAATCGGCAGCCTCCGTCATCTCTTGTCTTACTGTGGTTTTCAGATCTAACTAGATCTTTGTATGGAAGTTGTCAGTAGCTTGGTCTGTTCTTTTGGAGGGGGGTGAAAGGAAGGACCAGGATGGCACACAGTGTTCCCCAGGCTGAGGAACCCCTGGGTTTATAGAGTAACATGGTGTTGATTTCTCTCTGAGCACCATCCCACTCTTGTCCTGGTTTGGTTCTGTTAAGTACTACTGAGCTGAAGGTTTTCATGCAGCTGCTCCCAAGGCCTTGCACCCTCGGAAAGGATGAATGATCAGGAGGCTCTGCAGTCTTCCTTCCGTTAGAGAATTTAGAACACGGCTGGATGAGCTGCTGTGACAGCATTTGGCTATAGAGAAGTGCCACCAAAGCCATCACAGGTTGGGATTTAAGTGGTAAGCCTGTTTTACCCCCAAATTTTTTATTCAGTGGGAACTACTGTTAATAGTCCTGTGAGCCTAACAAAAAAAGAGAGGTGAGGCCAGGGCAAGTGCTTGCATACTCTCAGCTACATCCCACTTCCTTTAGGAACAGCCAGTCACTTCCTGTCCCATGAAGGATAAATGTGTTTAAGGTTCATTAAGTGCTTCTAAAGTCCATTTCTCATTTTGAAAGTCAGCACTGAATCAGTCACTTTGGTTTTCAGCTCTTAAGTTCTATATTGGATTTAAAAGATCTTGGGCAAACACTACATAGTATATGTGTCATCCTGCATAGTAAATCTGTGCAGTTAGATATATGATCTAATTATTTTTTAATCTTGCGTTGCAGGAGATGCATTGAGCTTTCCACGTTGGTTTACAGTGAGAATTTTTTTTGTGTAGAAATAGTGGTATACTCATTTCTGGGCTGAAAAAATTACGTTCTCTGCTAACGTAGGGAAGAAAATGCTTTCCCCTTTTGCTCTCAGACACAGTTTGGCAAATTACGTGCAATCGCACGAAGCAAGAGACTGAAGAAAGAAGCCCTACCTGCTGCAGCTGCCTGGAGAGGAAGGCGGCTAACAGCAGTACGCCAGGTGTCTTAGGAAGGTTTTTGCGAACTGCACATTTTTTTTATAAATCCGTAACGGTTTTTACTGTCTGGATGTAAGACTGGACAACAGAATTTCAGCAGTAATTACTTTTAACTGTATCAGCAGTAACATCCCATCGCTGACCAAGTTGGTGTGCTCCCTTTTAAAGGTCCTGTGGGGTGTTCAAAGCGCTGCTGCTGCGCTGAGAGCATCCCCCATCCCTGCGCCAGGTCCCTGCCCGGCGGTCTCGGGGCCGCGGTGCCACGGTTCACATTCCGGGCGCCTGCAGGAGCGTTCCCTGGGAAGGTGGAGTCCCACCCGCTGGAGCTGACCTTTCTCCTTCGCAGAGCAGGCAGTCTCCTCGTTCTTTTGACCGCGTTTTCTTAGTCACGGTCTTACGCTTCCTTTGAATCACTCAGCAGGGGTTGACAAACGCGGAGTCAAGAACATGTGTCCTTTGGTAAGCGTCTTTATGTTTTAGGAAAATGAGGATTTCGCAACTCGTGGTGCAGTTCCTCGCAGCTGAGTTCATCTGATGGTTTGTAGCTGCCAGAAGAGCATCCTCCCACCCCTTCCCCGCATGGCGATACCTGGTCCTTCTGGAAAGGCTGGGATCCACTGCGGAGCCGTGCTCCGGTCCGGATGAAAGCGAGCTTTTCCCCCACGAAAGGAAACGGGGATGTTGCGTCCGTGGGGAGGCGGCGTGCCGAGGCGCACCCTAAAATCCATCTTAAAGCTGTACCTAGGGTTTGGGAAAGCGTCGGCTCCGGCGCTGCCGCAGCCGTGCAGCGGGGAGAGCCTTTTGTCTGGGTGTTTCCTGCGGCTGAATCACTCCAACTGCTTGTCAGTCCAGAAAGAGCCCCTGCTCAGATGCTCCCCGGCGTGTGTCATGTTGCCCTGTTACGCGGGAATGACGGATTGCTGTGGTATGTGATGCGCTTCTAAACCGCGTCTGAATCACTGCTGGATGTCCTGATGCTCTGCCAGCGTGTAAAGCGGAAATTCATCGCAGGGGAGGGGGGGGGGAAGCGTACCCTGAACTTCGGCAGAAATCCCACCAGCCGTAGGGAAGCATCCTCTGCCGCGGCGGCTGCGAAAGCAACATCTGCTGGGCTGGATGTGAAATGCTGTGCCCTTTGCTGACCCGCTTTCCCGTCGGGAGTAGGGCAAATAAAAAACTTCAAAAGCACGTGGCGGGGGGGGGAAAGGAAACCGGGCGATGTTTGTGCCGTTGTACCGCTGGTCTCTCCTCACCGTGCGCAGGTGGAGTTTCCTCCGGGTCAGTTTGTGCCTCTCCCGGTGTGGGAGATGCTCCAGTCCCTGCACAACCCCACAGCATCTCCCCGGTCCCCTGGGCACGAGGAGGGTCCCCACGGGGGGTGGCATAGCTGGAGGGAGCTGCTGAGCATCGGCACTCAAGGGTCGATATCGGCAGGGGTAGTTGTGGTTTTCCTATATTCAGAAAAACATTAAAATCAACTCATGAGGTGGCTTACAAGCAGAAATAAACTTGAAACTGGGTCTTAAGAGCATCTGGGTCCAGCACAGCGCTGAGCACGGGGAATGGAGACCGAGGGGAGGGCACAGGGCTGTGACTCTCCTGGCACCCCTTGCACAAGCAGCGCAGCAGCTTTCGGCTCTCTGCTGAAACTCGTGTTAGTCCCTAAAAATCGTATTTTCATTAATTTGAGTTCAAGTAATTTGTTGTTCACCTTTCAGTTCCAGCAAATCAATCGCACGGAAGGCGGGTACTCCCGCCCCGACAGAGCTGCTTTCAGAGCCAAGAGAAGCCGACCCTTTCTTGTTCC